GAATAATAGTCCACTTTATTTTGTCCAAAAGCACTTTTTATATTCCTTCCAGTAAAAATAACACTCTGTAAATGCTAAACATTCTCCACTTAAATAGACATTTTGAAGTTTTGTGCTCTTGATAATCTGAAGAGTGGTTGTGCAATGTTAAAGAGCAGCCTCGTCCTTTCATGGCAGCAGAAACCAAAGAAAATATTTCCAAGGTTTCACAGAGTGCAACTTTATATAGACGAAAGAGTGATGTGCAAACACTGCTATTCCATCTCAGTGAAAGGTGTCTGATGTGTTTCTGGTGTATAATGTTTAATTATACGCAATGACACAAAAGAAAAAGGTCATCTCCAAGTTACTGAGGATCCACAGTGGCAGACTTGAGACTGTGAGAAGCAGAGATAGCAAAGTAAGCTCACTGACTTATCTGCAGGAGTTCAAATTCTGCTCCATTATTTATCAAGCTCAGCAGACAACAGTTACTCACCAAGATATGTCAGGTCAGCTCTCGCTTTAACTTCAGCCCTAATGCTCTTCAACATGGCTGACTCTCTGCAAGAAGTGAACTGGACATTTGTTGTGCTGTATCTCTTCTTTCTCTCTCAGTCCATCTGTCCTGCTGGTGCATTCTGTCTCATTTACATACATGCACTCATGAAGACAATGCAGAGTCACGCAATGCACCACACACAAAATTTGAGGGGTAGCTGTTTTGACCTTCTGTCCTGCAGTGCTTTAGAAACTCCACAACAAAAGTCCGGTCCTCCCTGATCTCAGAGTCTGCTCTCTGATTTTCCACACACTGTGATTAGATAAGAGTTTCTTCAAAATCTTCCACGGTATCTTCTCTAGCTGTTGTGCTGTCAGATCAGCATTTTTACTTTTTCGCTTGTTTAGCAGCGAGGCCCTAGTGACAGGCCATCCTTTGTTATAGTCATAGCGAAATGGCTTAGCAGCTACTGGTTAGCGTACTGAGTAACTCAATACAACATGAAGGGTAAATCGCTCGTAATTGAGGATTGATCCGGACCGGAGAGGTGGCAATTTGACTTGGACAAAGCTCTTCAAGATGTTTCGCCTCTCATCTGAAGGTTTCTTTCAGAAGTAAAATCTGGTTATTTTGTTGGATCAGACTGAAATTCACTGTCACCTGGATGACAGAGCCTTTAAAGACCGGTTAAAACAATTCTACTGTCTGTTCTCCTGTTTCTTCTGAAATGCTCTAAAAATTGGCAGCTAATCAACTTTTTTTTTGTCATTATCCTCTAATAAAATTTTAATTCTTATGCCATATATTTCTTTGAATAAAAGGGTTTTACAGATAACATTCATGCCCCCCGAGATGATGAATATTTCCTTTCACTCCATTAAGCTGAAGAAATCTACAGAAATCAGATAATATACAATACATATAACATTTCTGTAGTTTCAAGTGTCAAAGCCTTCGAGCAGCAGTATCAAAAGTGACGGTAGTGACATTATTATAGAGCAGCAGCCCACAGAGAGAAGAAGTGCAGGTAGATGGATGAACTGGTCAATAAAAGTTTCACAGAGGTCAGACATTTTAATTCTGTTTCCCAAAAGCCGTCAGTGTTAGTTTCTTTTAAGCACTCTTGATGCTCCTCAAATAACTGAAATCCAGGTTCTCCCCAAACTCGTTGTTTTGACATGTATCATAATCTTTTCACACCCCAAACAATACTATGTTATGCCTGAAGAAAAACTCATTTCAAACATAGCATTGTTTGGTTATTGAAACGGTGTCTGCTTTAATACCATTACCAGTATGTGGAAGGGGGAGGCCTGATAGCTGACGGCTCTATGTCCCATACTACTTTTTAGGATTTCAGGTATGGGCACAATTGCACTCTGGAAGAAAAAATGTTCTAAAAGAGTAACAGGGCACACTTAGTTTTGGTCAATGAAGCTGTTGTGGATGAGTGGACCCCTGAAAGTCTTTAGGACAGCCTCTTGAAGAGAAAATACAAACCTAGAGGTAGGAAATTGCATTTTTTTTTTCCCCTTCATAATTTTGAGACAGGATAAGCCGAACTTTTGGGATGCAACTATAAAAATGACTATCCTTGAAATTTCTTGTAAATAGGACTTAAAGGGCATATCTAGATGAAGTAGAACTCTGAGAATCCAGAGATTGGTGTTAACTGATGGTGATACCATCTGGGGCAGTAATTGCACAAGTAGAAAATATTGATTCCATCTGGCTTCACTAATATGTATAATTTGGTATCACAGGAACAACGTCCTAAAAAAAGCATTTAAGGTGATTAGTTGTGGTCCAAGCAAGGAACCCTGTGGAACTCCATGACCATCTTTGGTGTGGAAAAGGGACATATTGGATAGACTGAATTTATTTGATTAAACTTAACCCAGTGTGGCCCCTGTAATGCCAAAGTTTAAATCTCTTTAACTGGGTGTGCTGGTCAGCTATTTAAAGGCAACTCAAAGAACTAACACGTACAAGAAGAGAGAAGAGTCCCAAAGTCATGAGACGTTTATCTCTTTTTTTTTTGAATACTGGGTTAACTATAAAGCTTGACTAAAAATCTTTAAATGTACCTTTCCTATGAATGATGTTACACAACTGGAATGATGATAACCAGACCTTGCATTCTTGCCAGTACTGATTTGAACTCACTGAAATTATTTTACAGTCATACCTTGAAAGACTTCCTGTGTAGGATGCCTGGAATTGTTTGACCATGTCCTTAAAGTGAGGGATCATTCTGACCTTACTTCACCTGTAACAAAAAAGAAACTGTTCACCTCCACAGTACACTATCTGATGTCCTGCTATCAGTGATCTAAAACTTGACAAAACAAAATGTTGCCCCATGGGAGGGAGTGTGAGTGTGTGTATTTGTGTGTGTTTGTATGTGTGTGTCTAGTTGGGTGTTTGCTTCTCGTTCAATGACAGGGAGGGACTGAAGGAGGTAATTCCACACACCACTCATTACATGACTCTTTATCCCGAGATAATATATTCCAAAGACATAATGCTTTATTTATCTATTGACTAGAGCACTCATTGGGTTGGTATTTAGAATTCAAATCACTTTCACTGTGGTCTATTACCCTGGAATTGATATGGACTGAGTAAGCCGGGCCGAGTCATTAAATAAAAAGTCATTAAGCAAAATTAGCTTGCTGCTGTAAATATCACCGCATGAAATGCCACAAAGGGGTAGCTTTTATCTGAAACAAATATTTGCGATAATGGCAGGGTTAATGTCTTGCTGCACATGCCCGTTGGTTACGTATTCATGCATCAAAGATTGTCTAAGTACATTTAAGGCACTGCAGTGTTTCAGTTTTTGCATCATGATAACTGTGCTGCATTATGAATACCAGGGTGTCTCTTTTGTTTGCACTCATAAGTGGAAAAATCCTTCCACTGAATTGTGGGCCTATTAGTCAAAGCCACTGAGGTGCACCCTGTTATTCACAATTAGAAAAGACTTAAATGGTTAAGACCCACTTCCTCTATCAAAGGCGATGCAGACGCTTCAGTAATGCGTGCTTTTAACTGGGACCGTTTGGACACCTCTTAATGCAAGAGTGCCACACTTATTACCCAGGTAGTTCCTGTTCAAGCATAAAACAGCCATCTAAGTGAATTTGATTTGCACTTAGTGGAGATAATTAAGTTTACTCCCCACAAAAACACTAAAAAATGCATGTTAACCACATTAGTGCTAATGGATGAAATGGACAAATATTTCCCTTTCGTGCAACAGAACTGTCCGTATTACTTTGAAATGTAACATCTTATTCTGGTTCAAACAATGGCGGCACGTTATCAGACATCCAAACAGCACTTAGGCTGGAATCCATTAAAGTGTGACCTGATTAGACCTTAAACAAATGGATAAATAAAACTAAATATAAAGGACTCGGTGTCTTTACAATTTTAGCTGCTCATTTACTTTAAAGTGATTACCAACAGTACAAAGTTTAGCTGAATTTGATCTGATTTATTTATTTATTTGGGTTATCCTGCTTAAACCTTTGCATTTATTTGGGACCTGGTACTTGGTTACTTATCATGAAGTCAAAATATGGCACCGTAGGTATTCTTACAGTTACACAACTGAAAAAGGAGTTTAGTCAACAGTGATTTACAGAATATTAGTAACAGCAGAATTTCATGGTTAGCTTATCGTTTAAACCCTGTGAGTCATTTCAACATAATATAAAGACACAAAATGAGAAACATGTGAATTTAATTCTGTAACTAAGACAGAATGAAGGACGTATTTAAGACATTTGAATGAACTGGGACAGGGACGTGTCCACCGTTTTATTTCATGAACTCTTCTTTAACAAAATTTTGTAAATATTTGGGAGTAGAAGAGACGAATATCAGTTCACCACTGATGCTGTGGATGTGTTTGCATCCCTATACCATCATGGACACTGGCTAAATGATAACAAGCCACAAAGCCCCTCTCTTCTTCAGAGTGGTGGATGCAGTGTTAATGATTTCCAAAATAAATTTTTATCTGACAGGTTAATTCTTTGGACAGTTTTACACTTTACCGTCGTCTGTGGCAACTGCATGTTTTTGCATGGCTCAGTTTTAACACAAACTACATCCATAGAAAACTTTGAGCCCACGCAATGATACCCAAGGCAGAGTTATTATTAATATATATATTTTTGTCATTTTATACAAAGAAAAATGTTGAATTGTTGAACTTTTGGCTCGCAGTCTCTCACAAAGTGGTGGCCGTCTTTCCTTTTTCATATCAGAAGAACTTTACATTTCATTATTTAAAAACCTGCAAAAAAATTTGTGTTTGATTCAAGCAATTGAATATATTTAGTGATTTGCAAACCATAAATACAAGTGGCTTCCCGCTGTTTTTTGATTATTTTTTAATCTTTTTTTTATTTTTATTTATTTATTTTTCTTTTGGGGTCTGTGGTTGTCAGGTATTGGGTGTTATCTTGCATACGAAGCCGCCCTCCGTGTTCAAGTTGGATGTGTTTCACTGACAGTCTGCAGACAGGCTTGGCTGATGGCTCTCGCTCTCATCCTTCACTGGGAGGTATGTGACAGAGGAGAAGACAGGGAAGGCAGACAGCCCTCGGAGGCAGGTCTCTCTGCGGCGTTCTTCTCCAAAGGTCACTTGTGCTTTCAGATAAATAAAACAACACCTGGCTCTTAGAGGAGCTGCCGGCTCCATGCCAATTCCTGCAGAGATACAGGGGTCCCAGGTGCCAAGCACAGCAACCACTTTGAGCTGCCGGAGGCTGAACATTACACCCTTTATCCTGGGGGTGGGCTCACAGCACTCACACCTGACAATAGCTTTGCTTTCTCCGCTCTAAATGGAAACACAGGATAACCCAATAAACAACAACAGAAATGTATAAAATGCCTTTCTTCATGCTCAGAGAGGTTTGCCATTAAAGAGGAAATCTTTCTGGATTTACTGAAGGAAATGAAATAAATCTGATATTCCTGTCAGTGGAAAATGTTTTCCATCATATCGGAATATTAGAAAAAGCATATGTTGCTCTAAACTGTGGCAGTTATTCTCTCTGCAATGGTCCATTAACTACACCAGCAAAAACACACATCATGTCACTTTATTTATTTCATGAGAAGAAGAAATGCTCATTGTTAAAATAAATCATTGGGAAACATTATGTGACATAAGATAATAACATTATCTTACTTTTTGTTGAACTTCATCCACAGTCTGCCGAGTTTCTTTTGGACACATTAGTTGATGACATCTCTGACATTCTCTGGTTACCTGTTCCTCATAACCTTTGTCTGTCATGCAGGATGTAAAGGACGTCATGCTATGACTGTAAGGAGCTCCAGCATGTGGTGTGAAGAGTTTGGTTGCCAAGTCACAGTGGGACTGTGGTTATATGATTTGACATTGAGACCATATGGTAAAATATACTGATATTCTTTGTTAGACTGACTCTGATAAACAGCTCTGAAATGTTCAGAGGTAGGTAAGAAACAAAGGTGAGTCTCAAGGTCATAAAGGGGCATCAGCTTCCCAACCTGCTAAAAACTTCCCATCCAGCCTTAAAGTTTGTAAGTTGGTCTATTGGTGGCAAAACCATTGAGTGAATCATCACACAAAAGCAAACATATAACAGTTTTTGCAATATGTATGTGTATGTATTTTAAAGAAAGTGATTTTTTGCCCATTTCAGTTTGAGATTATTAGACTGTAAGCTGTTTCTTTCCTTTTTTCATTAATCGTGATGGTTGGACTTGGGATATGACTTTGTTTTTGACAGTGAGCTGGATGCGGTTGCGCTCACGCTATTGGATAAGTTGGGCTGAATTGTCATGGTGGACCAGAGTGGAATCATTATTTATAAGGAGAGAAATGATGGTGATTTCATCCGTATAGTAAATGTAGGTGGTGGTGAGTGAAAGGCTGGTGCAGTCACTGGTTTACAGAGGATTGGGTCAGCACACAACCCTGTCCTATCCAGATTTGGTGGTTAGAGCAGAAATGGTTATTGTGCCCACTGAAAACAGCTCCCTGTCTGTCATGACCACGCCATTCCATTTATTCATTCATTACTTAACAGTTACCTGGGGTCAATTCAGCTTTAGCCCTGAATAGAGATTTAAGAGTGGTAAGCGGCAACATAGCTTTTAGATTAACTTTCTTTCTTCCTTTAAGAAAGCTTCCCTGAACTTCAAATGTGGTGCCAATTGGAAAACAGTCTCTAAGAATGAACAAAAACAGCCTTTGTTTAGACTGTCAATTCTTTCACTGGTGTAAAGGTGTAGCCAACCAATGTACTGCGCCAAAACTGAAGAAGCCTTAAAGATGGGATATTATTCTTTTTTTTTTTTCCCAGACACAACATCTCCTTTCTGGGTTCTCTTTAATAACTGTACATGATTTTCAGATTTTCAAAAAAAGCCTCCTGTTTCTCACTCTGACATATTAAAAAATCATTATTTTATCATTATATCATTATTTCAGCCTCTGTTTAAGCTGCTGTCTCTTTAACTTTGGTTTGAAACTCTGCATACATCCAGTATGGACACCAAACATTTTGCAGTATTTGTTGTAAATGTGTAAAAGCATCATACCACCCCTTTGCAGCCATTACTCTTGGGGGTCATTCAAAGAGCGAGTCAGTTTTCAATGTTTTCAAGTTCAATGGAAATAAAGTGTTTTAAACTTTTTTTTTTCAATCTTTAATAGTTTATCTCATCATTTCAAGTTTTTCTTGCAGACTATCCCTCTGTTACCTCCCCAAGAAACTTCTTAGAAATCATTCACATATAATCGTACCTACTTAACATTTATGGACTTTCAATATTGATTATTTTATTTTGAATTCAGGTCTTGAACCATGTATTGAATATGCAAACTAAGTTGAATGAACTCTCCCAAACTGAACTTACCAATGGAACCTGCAGAGACTATCACTGACAGAGCAGGCTTTTGGCCAGACCTCCTCAGCAACGCTTAAATAGAAATTCCAGACATGATACGCACCAGAGAGGCCATAAAAAGTCATTAAGTCAGTTGTTATTCTATGCAGGAGACAGTTTGGTGAGTGAAATTTTATCTGAGATAGTTACTGCAAAATGGAGCTCAATGTGAGACAAGACAGAATGAGCGAGAAGGCAAGCAGAAAAAGTCAAAAAGAGTGATGAGAGCAGCAGATAGAAGGAGATCAGGCACATGAATTCGACTCAGGTGGCCTGTCAACCCTGTCATTGGAGCTGCCACGCATGTAGCACCATCATTCCTTTGTGAACAATCATTATTCTGGACAGGCAAAAGCATTCAGGTACAAAAATCAACAGCGTGCCAGGCAATGAATAGATAACAAGAAACAAAAACCAATAATAGCAAGCAGAGAGGGTGACCCAGCAGAATGGATCATGAAGGACAGTGTGAGTGTGTGTCTGTATCTGGGTTTGTGTGCCGCAGTGATTTAGTGTGCACAGAAGGAAGAGTGCACCTGCATATGATGACACCAGAAATAATGATTTGTATGTAAATAAGGATCCTCATTTATTCAAAGAGGTTGGGTTTTATTGGAGAGCTTCAGGCATTTATGATTAATTTGATGGGAGGTCTTCAAAGGTCGTGGAGTTAATTTTCTTTCCTCTTTTAACGAAATCGAAAACTTCATTCTTTGAATTCATTTAGAGAGATTTGAGTACTTTTGTTTTGAGCTACATTGGATTCTTAACCACATAACAGCTGTGAATGCAGCGCTAGAGAAGTCTTAGGGGTGCATAGTATCACATGTGTGTGAATGTTGAACTATTTATAAGCAAGTCTACAAGGTTAAGGACGACAAAAGGGAAGTGCTTCATTCTGAGTCAGCCTTTACACAATACTTTCAAGCTTTTGGCAGGTCAGCTCAGAGAGCTGCAGAGAGGTTGACAATGTTGTTGTGCACTGACAACCACATAAATACTAACCTCAGAGCCTCTGCAGTGCTGCTACTTTTGTAGACCCTCAGGTTTTATAAGGCAGGATGTGCGGGGCAGAATCTGCTCCCTGAACCCTCAGCTGAGCGCCCCCCTGCACCTTTCTCTTTACATGGTTTATTTTTCATATTGTGCGGCGAGTCGCCGGTTTATTTGATGCACTGAGCTACATCCAATACAAGCAGGCCTCAATAAATCCTACATTCATGAGGCTTATTGTATTCAGTCTTTGTTTACACTCTGTCATAGAGGTGTTGATTCAATTCTCCAGTCAAGTCTGCAGAGGCTGTCAGCCAGTGTGGTGGACAGTTTTTATTTCTGAAAGGGCTAATAAAATCACACGTGGAACAAACAATAGACAATACCAACAGACAGACTGACACAGGGGCATAAAGCTTTGCATGCAGAACAGACACACAGAGGATAGGGATGTGTCTTGTGTTAATATATGGCACATCTGGTCTTAAACACACAATCTTACAGTCCAGAGGAGCTGAGGAAAGGACTGGTCAGATGATCTGAGGCAGAGCTTATACTCTATGTTTGTATGAATGTTGTGGTAAAAGGTTGACTCATGCCGCTGTAAGAATCTGTTCTTTAGTTGACTGCTCAAAGATGACCAGAGAAGTCTTCAGTTCTCGGATAAACCTTTATTATGGTCACAGGTAGAGTAATACAGCGCTGGACTCACAATGACAGGGCTCCTAGGATCTCCATCACAACGAGTGCCCATGTACGGGTATCATTCCCATTTATCTTCTTGGGCAGGGATTGCCCTGGACAGAGGTTAGACTTAAATGCAACCAAGTATCATTGGCCAGTTATCTCCAACATAAACAGGCCAACCACTGTTCACGTGGTTTTACTAAAATGTGCTATGAAATATGTGTGTGTGTTGTTGACCTTGAGGCGTGTAACTACTGTCGTAGACCTGTCCGTCAGAACAAAGAGAGCCCTAGAGCTCATGAAGTTCGTCCTTATCAAGCTAAACGTCACACTGCTCTGATTAAATGAAAACACTCACTAAGTTGCACGAGTTCAGTGAAAAGGTACAAGTCTAACGTTAGCAAAGTAAAACACAGTTATAACACTGTTCCAGTAAATTATCTATGATGTACTTTTCATCTCACTGATTCTGTACTCACACAATTGGGGGTCAAGTACTTCCTAAATCCTCAGACTGTGTGTGTTATATAGGGATGCAGCATTGACATCTGTTAATAAAGTTTTCTGAAGCTTTACACTTCAAAGTTAAAGTCAGAGAAAAGTTTCTGATATGACAGCAAGAACTGAATATACAGACGCTTCATAACAGTAGATTGGTGGTAGGTTGGTACAGTCCAGAGGAGCAATTGTTGTCGACTGACTGTTCAGGCAGAACCTGGATACAGAGGCCTGGAGTTGGGCAGTCAGCTTGTGACTTTGCCTTCATTGTGTAGTGGGATGACCACATTTTCAGACATGCAAGAACTTTATCCAGGCAGGCAAAAACTGCTGACGTGGCTATTTCTGTATTCCTGTACACTGTCTGACTTTAAAATCAGTCATCTGCTCAGAATCTGCCAAAATCTCCAGAACTCTTCGAACCAGAGGAAACCAGAGGCTCACATCCAGCTGCAGTCTGCATCACTCACCATTGACTGGATGACACTCCTGTTTTTTATTTTACAATTTTCCTGTGATGTACTTGATATGTTCGCCTCATCAGAATACAACATAGCCAAACACAGTGAAATGAATTTGGTTCTTTTTTATTTTGACAAACTGAAATGCAAAAGCATTAAATATCACAATATGTCACAGTCAGTGACTTACACATTTAAGCCCCACTCTTCGAAACAGAGAACATGTAACAGAATAATCCCAAAATTAGTTTTGTGACTGAAAAGTTTTGAAAATGAGAATGATGCTTTGGATGGAGTTTGTTGGAAATTAGGTGAACTGCATGGTAAATTTAGCTTAGCTTCTTTTCTGGTTTTCTGGTGGTTTCTTATCAGAGGGGCCGAGCCAAGCAGCATCCTTGTGGCTAGTATAGTACCATTGACAAGTACCCCCCTTTGAAGGCAAAACAGCTGGGTCTTAAAACCAGTTTTGAAAAGCTCTGGAAACCATCTAAGCAAGGACGACAGGATTTATTCTGTTGTGTTCTTGGTTTCAGCCAGACTGAAAAGAAATGGGTATTACTCAGTCTTCCCCTGATATAACAGCCTAACAAGGAGCTGTCCAACAGCATTTGATGTGTTTTATATAATTCTCAGGAACAGAAAAATCATATCTTTTCAAAAGAAAGAGAGCGGGGTTCTCAGGGTAAATTGGCAAATAAGGACAACAAAAATGTTCAGTAACATGCTGTTATGTCAACTAAAT